GTAACTTAATATAAGAGAAGAATTCTTATTTCATTTCAGATCTTCTAGACTTGTTTGAAACAGTACATAAATGATATTTTTGTCAATCCATCTATTAGCACTTTTTGAATGACAGTATAAAAATGAAAACATTTTTCACATTCCCATTTCATATTTAAATGATTTCTATACATATATTACACATATATGGGAAATAGGTAACGTTTAAGGCAAAATATAGATAAAAGAATGATAATATACCTTCCACTGTCTAAATATATTTGACAATAATCGATTGTGCAAGGCTATTGTAAATTTAAGTAAGGATTTAAGATTATCAAAAAGTATCAGTGAACGATATATTTTACATAAAAAAGAGATACCTTTTACAACCTTACTTTATTAACTAGTCATATCTTGGACTAATTACAATACTTAATAAGACTAAGAAATGATTTAATGGTTATACGAATATTCACAGATTAAAATCATGAGTCAATTGAAGCTAGACCACCATGGAAAACCTGGAAGCACTGGATAGCCGTTTCGTCCTAGTATGGAACCCCTCGGCAGTGCGCATCCACGATCCCGCCTCGCAAGATTCGAACCCAGTACCTATCGGTCTCGAGCGAGGCGCCTAACAAACTAGACCACTGGGCCGGCATCCAACGGTGTTAATGTCTAACTTCAACCAATCCACGAAGTTGCGCTACCGTATACCATTGTCTTCAGTGAAATGATATCTCACAACAGACATGGTTGAACTCCACTAATAAGACCGTCCAGTGCTTTCAGGTTTTCCATGGTGGTCTAGCTTCAATTGACTCACGATTTCAATCTGTGAAATTTCTAAAATCTCCACAAACCTCTTTTGATATACGAATATTCGTCAAGATTAGAACGAATAGTTTGACAGAAATTAAGCGCCGAGTAAAGAAAAGTCATTATATGTGAAAATTATATTTGAAATAATCTCAGCGACTGGAATTTAAATAATTCCAAAAACTATATATTTCTTTGATGATTTTAATTATTACGCTGAAGAAGTTCAGACAAGTTAGCTGGACGAAACGTTGGGATTATTTAAATTTCAATCGCTGAGATTATTTCAAATATAATTTTCACATATAGTGATTTAATTGTTAGTTCGAAAGAATCAAATAACAAAAATGACTTTTACTAAGGAAACACACTATAAAAAAAGCTAATTATCCTATATATCAATTTCATCATCAGTTTTCCTTGTCACTTATGAACACATTTCTATTCTGAATAAGAAAAAAAAACATCATAATAGTCTTAAATGATTGATCGTTTATTTGCCTAATTTTATTCACCTTACCATTCTTTATTTTATAAAAGTGTCGCAGAAGATTGTATGAATTTCCCCCATAAACAATTCAGTAGCTAAATAAGGTAACTGAAATTTTATAGAATCAATAAAATTTCTTTCATATATTTAATTATTTTAATATACATATACAAAAGTCATAAATAAGATTTTAGATTGTTGTTGTTACTGTGCATTGTGCATCAAATTAGCATGTGATGTGTATTAGTTAGTGTATACATTCGATAGAAGAAAGAAGAAAAAAATGCAAAATAAACCCATCATACAATAATTTAGTCATTTAATTATTACTGAATAAATCAAGTGCCAAATATTTCTGCTGTCAGTTTAAAAAAAAATTGAATCAATAATTAGACTTTTGACTTAAATTTGTGATAATATTCAGTACGACATCTTACGTCACAGTACTTATTGGGGATAACTTAATACATAACAAAATCACTAGAATATCTGTTTTCGTTATAAAACAGAGGTAAATACACTTAACTTTAAACAGGTTGCAGGTTCTAACCTAGCTCTCCTTGCTACTGTTTATGTAGTAGTTTAGTGACCTGAGATCTGACTCCAGATAAATCTTGTGATTATCGTTATCAATTTATACCTATCGTCAATACTCGTATATAATTATCGACTTAACTCGCGTTAGTGAATAACGGGATTAAATAAGTCAAATACGAGAATGGATTTCTAGTACGTATATTTTATACATTGATCCAGACAGGCGATCGGAGAAACGAAGCGAGATGACGCGTAGTGGAGATGGCATGTGCGCCAACTCAAGGTTGATAAGCGAATAAGTGACAGGGTAGAGATGTGGCTTGAGAAGGATGAATAGATTGGTTTGTTCAGAGGCTAGAATAACCTATGTGGGCTTGACATAGGACCAGCCCCTACAGTATATCTAACCTTCAAATAAAATTAATTGCTTAAAACCAATTACATGAACCTACGTTTGATAAACGATTAGTAGGCATATTAACAATGTCTGATGATATCAAGCAAATTATTATATTCGATTTGCACTTTAGAATACTGGATATGTTATAAAAAAGAGAATTAAGTTTATAATGTTACCTTACTCAAAAGTTATTAGCACGTAACGGTTTATTTAAGTATTAAAATGTTGTAGTATTAAAAAACGTGTCATAATATTCGATATATAAGGACTGAGCAGTACACATTTATGTAGGCGTTATGTCATAAGCGAGCTTACTGGATGATATGTGAGGCAATGATTGTCATCTATTTCACCTTCCGGTAAATGCTGAACTGTGGAAACTGATCAAACTACTAGTAGCGATTTGGAAGTAAGAATAATATCCAATAGATGTGAGTACCTCAGAACATTTTAAGAATATTTTGTCATGACAGATATATCTTAAGAACGAGTCTAAAGAAAAGTGACATTGATTTTTAAAATTATATCCTTGGGATATAACAACAGCATAATAACAGTGACAGGTGTAACATCGAAATTGTAGAAAAAATAAAGCCTTATGAATAAGGAAAATGATATTTCATTCGTTGGTATTCGACATCTGCTTTTGGTGGAATCTCAACACAACTGAGACACATTTGTGTGCGAAAAACTCTTGAGTTGGTGCTCAGTTTAAAAACCTCAATGTTCAAAGTTTAAAACCTAGACATTACGTAGAGATCCATTCAAGGGGCTTATATGCCAACAATCAATATAGTTTATCGTACTGGCCAAAAAAGTAGTAGTGTAGTGAACGAGAACACAACCGGGGACAACCAAATGTATTTTAATATAACGTTACAGAATATCTTGTTAAAATCTGAGAACCATACTTTAAATAGTTCATTTGCAAAATATCCATCAATTCCCCCAGATTTTGTTGCTCCTTCGTTTCTGTACCTACCATTCTCTTTTATCGTTGTCTTCTCTTCAATTTTCTCAACCTTCGGCAGCCAGGTATTCCACTTTCGATTGATGATGCATACTACTTACATCCATCGACATCAGTAGCACACGCCACAGTAGTTATAGTGGCTTAGTAGCCTCGTGGACACTCGAACACTTAAAGCAGTGAAAACAGGGTTTAAGGTGCAATAAAAACACCATAACTGGTATGCAATTACAACTATATAAATTGAGATGGTGAAGATTTGTAGCTCAGGTGGATGATCTTGGTGGTTTTGTACTCTGAGCTGGATGGTTTATGCTGATGATGTCGTTCAGAAGAACGATGAAAGCTCCACGACCAAACCATCCAGCTCAGAGTACAAAACTCCACCAACAACTATATAAAAATATACTTATGTGTTAATGATGATAATGTATAGAAAGTTTAAGAAGAGTGTTTTTTCCCTCATAACTTTGATACGATTGTCGGAAATCGCACAACATTATTCATAGACTGTTATCCGATAAGGAGAATATTGAAAGATCTATGATCACTAATCTTTGTAAATGTATGGTCAATCACTCATTCAAAAACTCACTGACTATATCAGAAAAATGACAAAACGAATTAAACAACAAATAACACATACTTTCTCCAGTCTGAAAGTATATATTTTAATCAGTACATGAATAAAAAAGCGCCAACGACGCACTTTAAGGAATACACTAAGTAACGTAAGTTGGATATGTTTCCACCCAATACTTTTGTGTGGATGAATATACAGAAGTACATATAAACATTGGAAATAATTAGTTAATAAGAAAATTTTGTTTACACAGCCAAAGCGACTGATATTTCAGTTATTTGCTACAATTTTATTCTATTCCACTCTTTATTCTTAAGAAATTGTCGTTCACTTAAGATCAAGTAACGAGCCTACTAACTAATCAGCTAACACAAAGAAATATTGGACTTCATATAGTCTTTCATCTGAATACCTTTCATTTCCAATCTCCTTAGAGCTATGATCACTTCTCTACATTCCTAACGTGATACCGTTAGTTCTATTTTAAAGTATAAATTTTCCAGATGAAAGATATATTTATTTGAAACAACATGCATCGAGTTTAAATTTCCTGTGGGCATCAACACTAGTGTGCAGATAGATCCAAATGATAAGTCTTAAATAAGAAAAAACGCATGTTCTGCTTTCCACCGGTAGACAGTCCAAAAATATTATAGTTAATGTTTAAGAAAATCATATTACATTACAGTGCAGGTACATAAACCAAGAATATTCTCATCAATATGTTCTCACCCAATTTTAAGGTAATAAGTTCAAATGATTTATTAACAGATGTGTAAAAGAAAAACTTGTACAGGTTAATCCTTCATATTTCGAGTAATAAACATGTGGATATAAAAAGATCATAAATAATCGAAGGACTCCCTAAAGGAAGTCATTATATAAGTTAAGGTATTTATAATATTTACAGAAGTAACTCACGCTTATAAATGCACCAAGAGGACGATGTACAGAAATATAATCGCAAAAATAATGTATATTTTTCGACAAGAGTGATTTGATCAAATTATTAAAGCCAAGATCATTTCATACGTAGAGTATACGGACCAAATCATATCAGTTTAAAGAAATCAAACAATTACTACTACTTTGAAAAAATAATTTTTACTAATAAGTACTTTTATATACTGACATCTGATTAGTACTTTATAAGATGGATATGAATAAAAGTTAGACTAGTATACTACGTAATTTGTTGGTTGTCGATTAAAAAGATGTATCAGACATCATTCGAATTCACACAATTAGCATCATCCAATAAAACAGACCCATCTTCTAAGGTTACTTTAGGTATGGGGATTTCTATTGTTGGGAGCGAGTCATGAACTTTTACATTTATACATAAGCGAAAATCAGCACATAATAAAATACCGTGGATAAAACATAAAAAAGCTATTATACTGTTAATAATACCCATAATTAACATGCTTGATTTAGGTAGAGATCCATCCACGTACTGTTGTATAGTTGTGCATGCGATTGCAGTTGTTACTATTAGTGGAAAGATGCAACTAACAACACTGGCTGTGTCCCATTCATCTGAGTCTGCTAATCCAGCAGTCAAGGTGGCACCAGCAGTTAAAATTAATAAAAACGCAGCAATGTAAGCGAACGGGATTAGAACTGAAGGCCAAGCGAGATCTGATTCTGCAGAAACACAATATGAAAATAATGTTTGGATAATAATCAAAATGAGGCTCGCACATATTAACACACAAAAAGCTACTATATGATACATTGCAGCACTGATTACTTCATATTTCTTTCGAGTGAGCTCCATACTTGGTGAAAATATCTGCAGAATCCACAATATTTGCTCCCAAAAGAATCAGTGATTCAAAGGTATGCGAAACGAATATATTAAGTTAAGAAGAATTAACTGCCAAATACTGTCACTATTCAAATGGGTGATATAAAATTCCAATATTTTACATTCATTTAAGATTTTAAAACAATTTGTAATGTATCAGTGAGGTTTCTTTTTAAAAAACCTTTGACAGCCATCAAAAGGTATGTGTAATCTTATCGCATCATCTAGTCTATGCCTTTATGACATGTTATGAGAACTGGGTTCTCATTGGTTGCAAAACCAATTTTGTTTCACGTCAAATATCTCCATATAAATCAAACATCTATTTGTAAGTATGTTTTATTGATGTTTAAACACTAACGATTTCAGTTTAGTGAAGGGACGTTTCTCAAATTTACTTAGGTACGTATTTGTTGATGTGTAGTCTTTATTACACAGTAAGGCTAGAAATGCAACGAGGCAGAAAAGATGTATTGATTGTGTGTAGGTGTAGAAGCAAGAAATTGATTCCTCTCTGTAGTGTTTTTTGTTTCTTATTTGGCCATGTGACTTTTTTCTTTAAGAATATTGAGTCAGGAGTTATGATTGACAAATTGAAGCTTAATATCAAAAATGGTAATAGGGCATTAGAATGCTGTCACTGTCTCTAATACATACTATTACTTACTCGAGATTCATAGTGAAATGAAAATTGGAAGAAAGTAACGATTGGTACCAAATATAGGTAGTTTGTGAAACACTCAAGTGACTTAAATTTAATACTTAAAAAGGAGGGAGATAAATCGAAGTAACTTTATTGAAAATTAAGGAACTGTATGTTTGTTGATATTTAACTGAATTCGAAGATATCGACCATTGAACTCCAATTTAATAGTTTAAAATTATTTGCTCTCCATGATACTTGAAAGTCCTAGATTTGATCATTGAGTTGCAGTTGTACACTAATGAAGAGCGTCAAACTAGAGCAAGATGTTGTCCAATGATTACTGATTTTTATGTCCTATATCTGATAACAACCTTCGATGGAAATAAAATTTTCGATTTATTGGTGTTTTAATTGTTCTTGATAACTAAATTATGTAACAGACTTCATTGGTGGTCAGTATAGTGGTTTCTTGTTTGAAGTATCTCGTTTAATAAGGAACAGTAAAACTTACGTGTAGCTTACAGCTTATATTGCATGGTAGACCTTTATTCATATTTCATTTCAGTAGTATATCCCGGAATAGCCGATATCACAAGCAAAGACTTAATTGATTTGAGTACGATTGACATGTGTTGTTGACTTCTTTTTCCAGTCGTTTACAACATGTTATCCCGTTTTAAAGAATAATCATATCCGTTATATCTGTTGGTTATAGGCGCTTAATTCTATGCTAATGTATATTTGTGTATCAATTTAAGTTACTACCTAGTTTAATGCATACAGATCTGACTATTAATTAGTGTTATTCTTTTTTTTAAATTTTGGTTGTTAAATAAATCCTCACGCATTTTTGATTAAACTTGCATCGTCTGACTCACAACTTTCCAGGAGAAGTATCAAGATATATTTGCAGTTACAACAGTAACGAAGTGCACTTTGGACAGTCAATAAATCTTCATTTACAACAGTATTCTATTACCCTACTACGCATTTCAGGAATAAGTGGTTCCCAATTTCAAATAATTAATAGTAGGATTACGGATAAGGTATAGGTTATACATTTTAGATTTATGTGTTTGGATAATGCAGAAAAGGATAAACTTCATTCGTACCAGCGATGGCATTACTTACTTCCTTATGCCTGTTACCCCTCGTGGAGGAGTACAGGCGTGCACAAGCACTCCTCATCCAACCCTGTCCTGGGAAATCCTTTTCATGTCTGCTTCCGATTCCCGACGTAGTGTGTTCTTCGGCCTTCATCTTTTATGTTTCATTTCAGAATTTCAAATAAGGGCTTGCCTCATGATGCAGTTTGGTGATTTCTTCAGTGTGTGTCCTATCCACTCCCAACGTCTTTTCCTGATCTCATCAGCTGGGTTGTCCTATCTCACAGTAGGCTGTTGCTGATAGTATCCGGCCAACGGATATTGAGTATCTCGCGTAGACAACTGTTAATGAATACTGATATGATGGGAAGAAAAATAAATTTTTTGATTGATTTACTTATAATGAGCTTTGTTCAACATTACTTCTCTTCTAATTCAATGTGATGATCATTCACTATATTATTTGTTTTCTTTTGCCGCATGATATTTAATTCTGTATTATTATACGATAATCCTGTATTCCATTGACATGAACTATAATCAGTCTGTAATTTGTTATTTTTCATGTGATTTCATCCTAATTATTACTCAAAATGGGTGTAAAGTCAATATATAAACCAGTGTATTTTAAACTATTTTGATCATCGTTCGTCGTCGTCGTCATAGTGTTTTGGGGTTAATAAATCATCACTTATACCAGTATTTGTGTTATTACTTTCGCATCGTGGGAATTGCAGAGGTCCCTCGTTCCGAGTATAAGTGATAAGTGTTTTCGACATAACAATCAGCGACGATCAGATACTAAAGTAGCATTAAAAGAGCCAAGGCAATACGCATTCAAACGACAAGCTATAACAAATACCTTAACTTTTTTTATGTATTTATTTGAACACATAAATATTGGTACAACAGGACACCAAGTATATATGCGCCATACAAAACGATGAGGATTCGAAGAGAAAAAAAGAACAATAACGAACAGATTAGTGTAATGTAGTGGAATAATAATAGTAATAATGGGGGAAACGGGAAGGTACAATCAGAAAAAATCTTTCAGTTAAAGAAGAAGCATACTCAAGGTCGAGAAGTCTTTCTCCGGGCAACAGATCCACACCACCATTACTTACATCCATCAGAGTTGTTTCTAGAATATCATCGATGGCAAAGTTGGAGAGGAATGGTGAGATTGGGCAACCCTGTCTAGCCCCGCTGCTCGAATAGAACAACTGAGAGACGTGGTTGTATGCCCTCACTCTGCCTGTGTTTGTATATAGGGCTTTTAGGATGTTAATAAACTTCTCAGGCACACCCTTCTTCAATAGACAATCCCAGAGAACAGTCCTGTCCAACGAATCGAAGGCAGCCCTGATGTCAAGAAACACTACGATTGTTGGTCTGTGATAAGTATGACGGTGTTCTAACATTTGGCGGGGGGTGAAGATATGAAAAAGCTTGGACCAGATTGCCAGGCGAAACGTTGGTTGGGGACCACGAGATGATAGCAACCGATGGTTAGAGACCCTGAATGACATGGCTCAAAATCGTTTGCAATGGCGCAGGTACATCCACTCTGTTCTCCTAGATTCTAATCTTCTGAATTTTCCATGTCCCTTTTTTCCTCTTTCCAAATTTATTTCACTGGATTATACTCTTTAAATAACATCTCCAAACCCTAATCTTCCCGATTACTGCTTATACTCTTATTACCTCTACCACTACGGGATTTGAATCGACAACTGCATCTCTGTGTTAAGGTGGTGTGGCAACTCGAACTGACGTACGTACATACGAAGTTCTACGTTGTTACTGACTGACTGATTGAAAAGTAAGATCATATAACATAATTTACATGTAAGCAATCAGATTCTGGAAGTCAGATAGAGAAAATCCTCGATTCATAGAGGCAGCATAATGAAGCTTATTACGAGTTGTTTAGCAACCGTTTTTGCGTACGAAGTATTCAGTAATAGTACGTACTTGACAAATTTATTGCGGAGACAAACTGTTATGAAGTTTGTAAATAGATGGTTATAACTGTTCTTTTCGAAATAAAGAATATACCCATCCAAACCTCTGCATTCAAAAACGATGCCGTAGATGTAAATAATCTAAATACTATTCTAATCGTGAATACGAAATAGTGTGGTGAGTCTAAGAGAATCCTAGTACAAACAGACATGAAAATTTGTCCAAATACTGATATATTTCCAGGTTTATAAAAATCCTAATTTTAATCCGTATCCCTCATACTTCCCCTCTCGTCTGATGATTTCTTTTAACCAATAACAAACTTTTGAAAGTCAGGATTCTGGCTACTAATCAAATGATTTACCACCTTTCGCTAACGATATTTTTTGTTCATTTAGTGAGTTTCCTATCACGCTTTTAGAGAGCATCTGGACTGGTTACTTATCAGAACCATTTAGTGTTCAGTAATTGATTTCTGTTCCCCAAAAGATTGAGTTCAGTTCATCATAACAACTCATTCCTTTCATCTAAAATGCTGTTCCTACCAGTGCGAACCAAATAAGAAGTTATTCTAATCTGATTTACTATGCCACCAATCACCTCCTCAAGAAACTAGACAATATTGCTTTAAATCAGTTGCTTGGAGAAAGAACCCACCTGAAACAAGCGCAAAATCCCATCTAAGTACGTTACACAGCAAAAAGAGAAACGGGCAAAACTACAGTGATATTATTAATAAAGATCTAAAATACGAAGACGGAAAATGAGAACGAAAAACGGAAAAAAGCTGTTCACAACCAAATATATGGAGGTATATTTGACAATGCTGAAGCCCTTTATTTCAGTTGTTCAGCAAATATGTACACATTCAAACTGTTTCTCAGTGTTACCTTAGTCCAACTACTTCAATGAATCTTTCACATGACGTCTCGAACCAGCTTATTATATTGATCATAAGCAATACACCTAACTGCTTTACTTCGAAAGTCTTTTTGTATTACGAGTTGCCATTTGTACTGTGGTCACTATTTGAGCAAGGTTATCTCATCAATCCTTTTCTCAACGAAGTAACTATACATAATGTGGAAAGAAGTCCTGAATCTATGACGACGTGTATTCTGGGAATAAACTAAGGAGACCAGCAGATGAAGCCACTGATTATTAGAATAAGCCATGTACGTCGGTGCAAACCACATAACTGGGGTTTGAACAATTATTGTAATCAATTGTTGAAGACGTTAAGTGATAAGGCTAGAAGTCGATCTCAATGGAACAGGTGAATCTACCCTTTACTGACACTCAGATTGTGTTTTGAATTTCCACATACCCTCTATTCTATAGATCCATTTTTTCCTCTCAGACCATATGGTGTATCTATAATTTTTGCTATATTTATTTATAGTGTTACTATTTCTGAAATAAAAGACGGATTACGGTTACTTATATTAAATCCCTTTAAAAGCGATAGGGTTAAACGGTACTTACTAAGGTCGTCTATTTCATCTATTTTGATATAACTTTATTACAGACATATGCATAGAGAGGGGAAAAATTACGTCCCATTTTTTATAAGCCAGATTTTTACATGACATGGTTATGGCAATTTCACCAGGTAAAGGTAGTAACAGCAACCTTCTTCTGCACAGTGTTAGAACGATGATGATGTAGAAATCATATTTCAAACCCAAAATATTGTTTAAAAAGTAGTCTTTTTCGTAACCTAGTTTAGTGATGGTTGAGCCCATCGATCATTTATATTATAAGCTTTGCTACTTCAGACGGGTCTGTGTCCCCTTTTACAGATTGCACACCTCTATTATAATAAACGAATATAGCAAACTATTACGGAGTAGTTCTATCCTTCAGATTCCGTGCAACCTTAAAAAAGAATCTATCAAAAAGATATATTGGTTAACCAACATTTAGTGAGAACGATCTTATTTCTGGTCATTTGTAATATGAGATAAATTTATCGCATACAGGATGCTGACATAAAAACTTCGTTTGAACATAATTCATTTGGATAGTAATTTAGAATTAGTTGTCCTCTTTCTAAAACACGTACTTTACCGAACAATTCTTAATAATAGAGTAGGTCAGTCATATTCAACATACACCCGGCACAAATGGACAGGTCAAGTTGTCACAGTATATTAGGACAGAGATAAAATTGCCGAGATGAATACCAAATTAGTGGAAGCAGTTGTTGTAGAAGGAATAGTAACAAATATTGGATACAGAGAATATCAATAGAAAGGGAAGAATCGACGGGCAAATAATAAAGCGAAGATTTTGAGCCAAAAGATAGTATAGAATGAAAACATTCTAATAAATAACTAAATAAATCGACAGAGAAATAAAGTGGAGACCTTAAACATTAAGGTGAACCAAAAGAGTCAAATGAATATGTAAAGAACGCATTACAAAACTGTAAAATTACTGATAAACAGAACTTCTGTTTTATGGTATTGTAACCTGTTTGAACTGAAGAGATGTAGGTAACAACAACTTTTGTTTTGACGTCAGGAATATATGAAGCAGAAAGAAAAGGATAACTATGTCATGTTTTTAAAATCTAGCATTATCTGGTGTTTATCCATAATTTGGAGTGCTGCACTGCGATTAGATTCGTAGTTATCAAAATCGTCTTCAGAAATCCAAGACATATCAGAAAGAAGTTTATAAGCTCCAATATATCTGTGTGGACAGCCATCCCACTCCTAGAACTCAATTGGTTAGCAAATATACAGGCTTACTTACCGTGGGTGAAAGCAGACTAAAATACTGGCTAGCATCTGGCTTCTCATACACATAATAAACATTTCCGGGTTTTTTTATGAAATTACAGGGAAGTTTATGTAACAAAGTATCTCTATGGGCGTTTTGTATGATAGCCTTTGCCTGAGACTAAATAAACGCAAAATCAGATATCTGCTGGGTTATAACATACTTTTAAATGTTGCATCTGTTCAACAATTAATCGAAGTTGAGAACATGCATTTGCACTAACAAAACTATTGGCACTTTCAACGTAGTGTGCCAATTCAACTAAATTATTAGGGTCTATTAATTTTCTGGCGTCATCTCTGGTGCATAAAGATGACGGCGAATTATCAGTGTGATTCATTTCGAATAGTTCATTAAATGATATGATCAAATGATTATAAATGTACTGAAACAACCACGTTCCATTTATCTAGACAGCTGTATTTTCAAAAACCATATGAGATATTTGAACACTTTCAAGCAGTCTAGGATGAAAAAACAGTAGAAAAAAGACAGTCAAATCAAAACTTACTGCTCTATTTTTAAACGGTGGCGAGATCATAGTACAGGTTCATAAGATATTTTTATTATTTCATATTGCACGGGTACAGAATTTTATCACTGAAACAGAATGATAAAAAGTTACGGAAAATTGACCAGTGAAACTTTGAAATACAGTGCGAAAGTAGAGTGATAAATGGTTTCAGGAGTAAGGAAAAACATATGAGTTTAAATTTAGTGGTGACCATACGAAAATGGACTGCCAAAAACGTCATCCTTTTAAGGATGTTACGGATATTCAATGTTCGACAACACGGCTGTCTGTAAGTTGATGATCTTAAACTCAGCCCAACCAGAAGTCATGGATGAAGGAGTTCGAAGACATATTTGGAAGATAGTCTATATGTCAAGAAGTTTGTAAGCTGAGCTGACTAGTTGTTGCAAGGTATGCGTAGAAAAACATGTCGAATATTAGTCTGACATGCATCGTTGACCAAGAGTTCTCAGTTATGGTGTTCAGCAAAGCTAGTAAAGACATACAAGAATATTTATTTACCGCTACATTGGTCACAAATATATGCAAAATTCTAACGGTGATTAGCAGTGATACTATGTAGTGTCTAGTATTACGTCAAGCCTAAATTGATTGATCTAGGCTTTGGAAAGATCGATCAGTTTATTTTTGAGTCGCTTTCTGACTTTGTCAATAATCCCCTTATAAGCTAAATAAGCTTGACATAGACAAATCCACGGGATCTGATGAAATGTATCCTAGGTTACTACAGGAACTGGCAAATTTAGTCGGCGAGACTCTAATTTATGGACGACATCTGAACGAATCTTAAGTGACCCTGAGAAATACTAGCCAATCAGCAAACAGTCAGTATAGAGTAAAATATGTTATACAAAACCAAGGGATTAAAGTGGATACAATTCTTATACGTGGTTCAAAATCTTGTCGCGGTTAGAAAGAGGTTCAGAGGTTCTAAAATCGTAATGCATGCAGTAGAGGTAATAATCCATACGGCTACAGAATAGTCGGCCTCTGGAGTCATGATAAAGTCTCAAAAACTCTTTCAGCCTCGACCACATAGCTCCAATATTGTTTATGTGCACTCCGGTTGTTGAGTGCACAAAATGCTACTTGTGGATAACAACACGATGCACATAACCAAGCCTACGTAGGAGTCTACGCTCTCCAAACATCCGTATATATTGTAGTACCTGGTTGCAGCCAGTGTTACTGGTGCTTTTATTATCCAGTTCGCAATAATTGTCGTGATTTGCCTTAGTTATGAATTATATATGGAGTCTTCATCACGAACTGACATCAGCTATAATGCCAGAAATTTATTTAGCCAAATGGAAGAAAGGCTTTCGCGTTAAAATCCGAGATTCATCATCTTATACCTGATCGATTCGTCCACAACTTATAGTCTCGCCGTTTTATTTGTTATAGCCGCTCAATTATCACATTTTGTACAAAATTCCCTGTAAACCGATCATATGTTAGCATCAAGCACTGAAGTTGGTGCCGTAAACTTGAAATTTTTGAAACGCTTCTGATTGGCTCGTCCATGAATTAGTCTCGCCAATTTAAGAATATGTTTTAATCTACCTTTACCCCGGGGTCGATTACCAAAATACTGGAAGAACGCCCTAGTACGTACTACCCTCAAAACAGGTACGAAACATAAACCTGAGGACTACCAACCTGTTAGCCTAACAAGCGAGGATGAAATTTTAGGAAAGATTATTCGGAAGGAGCTGTTTAAGTATCTCGAAAAAGCCGGGTTCTTTCTGAAAAACAGCATGGCTTTAGAACACGTTATTTATGTCTCACTAACTTATTGGTCGCTCGTGAAAGCTGGTGCGCTTTTAAGGCCCACAAGTTACCTGTAGAAGTAGCTTACACTGATTTCAGCAAAGCTTTTGACGAAGATTCTCACAACCAACTGTTATATAAGTTAATTAAAAAGTGTTGGATGCAATTCATTAATGTGGTCAAAATACTTCCTAGTTGGGTGCCAATAAAGAGTACGAGTGAATTCCGAGTTATCTAGCTGGGAAGCTGTGCTTAGCGGAGTACCTCAGGACACAGTTTTGAGGTCAGTGCTATTCCTCTTAAATGTAAATGACCTTCCTAGTCTCCTATCATCACCGGTCTTGCTGTATGCTGATGGTGTCAAAATATTGAGAGAGATAAAAAGTAAGGGTGATAGCTTAGAACTTCAAAATGGCCTGGATAAATTATCTAGATGGTCTCAAACTTAGCAGTTCCCGATAAACGCTTCCAAGTGCATCGTGATACACATTGATCACCAGGGTACAGACACACACAGTAAATGACAGCTACCTGTTGTCCAGACATACAATTACTTAGAAGTCATTGTTAGCCATGACTTAAAAACTATAGCACACTGTCGAGCGATAACCTAAGACCCGAAGTATCCGATTACTTACCATTACAGCTATTTCTCAACTCTCTAGTTGAACGGTCTGCATAAGTGGAATAATTAATTCTCCATAAAGTATTATCCTACAGGATTTACGCATGTTCATGTCTGTGTTTGTTCGAGACACGCAGCCACAAGAAAAAGGAATATTTCGAATAAGAAGCGCAAGGTGAAATCACAGCAATAGAATGAAATGGTAAGTCTTATGATCATTGAGGAATACAGACAAAAACATTGCACTACAAATGATAAACTACGTACGCTACCTTAAAGCATATATCCTCTTTCGTTTCTACGACCTTGAGCAGGTTGCTTTAGTTCCTATTCCAATGTCCAATATCTTGAACATCGGCTGGTATAAACCTAATGATTCCTCGCTTTTTGTTATCGCGGTACGGTTTCAGGTCGTTGATGATGCCACATGTATGGTAATCTAGCTATTCGACTTTAACAACTCCAATGATCCACGAAACGCCATTTAAAAAGAACAGTGGTATTTTTCCTCGCTGAGTAAATTTCATTGTTTTGATCGTTTATTACTTATCAAGACTACTGTTTTCACTTTAATTGAATTCATTTCAGTTAAAGTATTCGACTAGAGTACTGTTTTTACCGTTTTCTCAATTATTTTTGTCGTTGGTACTCTTGAGTACCTCATTTTCAATTGTATCTGTTAGTACTTTTGGTCCTAACAATCTACAGTTCTTCACTTTTTGGTCATTGATTATTTTTTTGTTTCTGAGTATCATCGCATCTCGTTCCTTTTTTAAAAGGACTCCTTTTAAATGAACGGATAGTGTAAAAAAAGCGGTTGCCAACGTCCGGGTTGTCGTTATCCCGTTGAAAGCGGCATACAGTGCGACGAGTGCAAAAGCTAGTACCGCGAAGTTTGCACGAACTTAACGCCTGCGGATTTCAAATGGTTCAGCAAGAAGGGTTGTGTATGGCTTTGTCAACAGTGCTGTTCGGATGCAAACAGCCTGTTACCAGGGGCCATCTCACTGGTTGATGCTGCAAAGAAGTGTTTTAGCAAGCGTAGTCGGAACACGTCAAACAGCACTCGATCTGTCGACACACACATCGACTTGAGGCAAACTAAGGTTAGTTCGACAGTAGATGACTCACGCCGGTCAAAGAAGGAATAGCAGTTTCCGAAGGGGCCTGCCTTAAACAAAAGCTCAAGGGAAGTAGGTTCTTCTGTTCCCCGTCTCCCAGATGGGGTCCCACAGGAAACGCCTAGAAGCCGCAATCGCAAGGCTCGATCGGTTTCAAGCAGTAAGCATAACCTGACCTCTCAGGTCGCCGACAACACTCCAGAATCCAACACTAGGTTTAACACAACTGTTGTTGCTTCTCCCAGCACGGTTAACGAATGGGTACGGGTTGTACAAAAGCGTAAAGGAGGGGGAGTAGCTCTATTCATTAGGAATGCTATCCCATTTGCCATTATCGACAGTGTATTCCATGAGAGTGGGACGTGTGAATTAGTTAGCCTTCGCTTGAAATGTGTTGAGTCGGCTTCCGGAGAACTTCAACGGAGCCTCCAGAGGCTCAAAAGGAGCCGAAGGATCCTAGCCGATCAGAGTACGATGGAACGTTCGAGAATTCCAGCGTGGCGTGCTATTATTGGTCGGTAGCATAATATGACTTTAACGGATTGGCTGAAATATGATGTTGATTTAACAGACGCCAACATTTATAAATACCCTTGATTTTCTGTACAAAAATGAACCTTGGGATAAAGTATTTTCTCTCATACTTGTGTCTTCTCTCTGGTGTTCAAGTTGCTGTGTATTTCTAGTCTGCGGGTTACCAGATAGCTTAGGAATCGTTTAGAGCGTTCCATTGACAAGACGTTTCAGTGGCGACGGGGATGAAAACTACAATTAACATTTCCTTGAAGCAATTAGAAGCTTATATGGTGCGTCAAGAAAAGAGGTTTGAAGAGTTCCAAATTAGGATCATGGAAACCTTGATGCAGAAATTCTGCCTGTCCAAGAAAATCCCTGCTTCTAGTGAATCTCAAGTATCACATATTGATTTATTCATTAACGCTATCCATGAATTTAATTTTGATGGTGTAGCAGATGTAACCTTTGAGTCGTGGTTTAAGAAGTATGAAGATTTGTTTTATATTGATCTTTGCAAACTGAATGATGCTTCAAAAGTCAGAATACTTCTGAGAAAACTTGGGATTATGGAACATGAACGCTATAGCAACTTCATTCCTCCGAAGAATCCACGAGATTTTAGTTTTGATGATACAGTCAAAACCCTGTCCCAAATCTTCGGATAACAATCATCTCTATTCAATATCCGTTACCAGTGCTTAAAGTTAACGAAAAAATCAGGAGATGAATGGGTGAAGCATGCAGGAAATGTGAACCGAGAATATGACAGGTTC